TCTCCGCCCCTGCGCCTCTGTCCCCGTGCCATGCCCACCTTGGATGAGGCCGCTGGCAGCGCCGGGGATGCCCTCGATCTCAGTCACGTTGTTCATGGTGAAGTACTCGTCACAGGTGGCATTGAGGAAGCGGGAGGTGCAGAAGAGCTCCCAGAGCTTGGAGCCCACTGTCTCATTCCCCTCCACCACCATCTTAGTGCAGAGGTCGAAGCCATGGCGCGAGAGGGTCCTGTTGCCCAGGAGGCAGAACTCAGCCGTGTGCTGTCACACCCCAGCCCCGCCGTAGCCCCACGGGATGCCGTACTCACGGGAAGCTCGGTGGGTCAAAGGCCGACTTGATGACACCAGCGTAGATGGCGAGGATGGAGAGGATGACACAGCCCAGGAAGACCAGAGCGAACTTGTTGACGTACTTGACCCCCACAAACACCACGGTGGCCATGCAGGTCAGCACGCAGGTGCCGTACACACGCATGTTGTTGAGCATCGCAGCCGCCTCCCCGCTGGCATCCTCTGCCTTGAAGATAGCCATGGCCGGGAAGATGTAGGCCTGGGAGAGAGTCACAGCATCACTGCCTGGCTAAGGGCCTCGCAGAGGGGACCCCGGGGAAGGGTCCCTTGTCCCCACTGTGAGGCCTTGGCTCCCTCCTGGACTGTGAGGAGCAGGCAGCACGGGCAGGAGAAAACAGAGCTGCCCTGCCAGGACTCAAGCCCTCGGCACCATGCAGGGGGAAGGACCAGGCACATACCAGCAGGATTTCGATGGTGCCCAGGATGTACATGGCGCCGGCAAAGGTGGTGCCCAGGTAGAAGCAGAGCCCCACAGCCCCACCAAACTCGGGTCCCAGGGAGCGCGAGATCATGTAGTAGGAGCCACCCGCTGCCAGAGAGAGCAAAGGTGGATCCAGCCCGAGCCCAGCAGCATCCCCAGCCCTGCCAGGCATCCCCTGCAGGGGACAGTCCCCAGGGCCCCAGAGCAGCAGGAGCGACCATGCTGGCAGAGCCTTCCCCCAGGAGCCTAGCAGCCAGGCGTGATGGCCACAGGGACACATGTCCCCTGGGACACCAGACAGGCACAGGAGCCCCAGGGATGTGGGCTGTGCCCTGCCCTGTCCTCCCAGGGGAGCTCCTGGAGCCGGGCAGCCAGGATCGATGGTCCCGCCGCGGCAGCAGGATGATAAATCACTTTAATTACACCCTGCGCTGGGGCTGTCAGTGCTGTGCCCAGCCCGTGATGGCCACAGGGACACATGTCCCCTGGGACACCAGACAGGCACAGGAGCCCCAGGGATGTGGGCTGTGCCCTGCCCTGTCCTCCCAGGGGAGCTCCTGGAGCCGGGCAGCCAGGATCGATGGTCCCGCCGCGGCAGCAGGATGATAAATCACTTTAATTACACCCTGCGCTGGGGCTGTCAGTGCTGTGCCCAGCCCGGCCTGGGGGAGGCAGCTCGGGGGCACCTGCATGGCCAGACCCCACCAGTGCTGTGCCGGGGGTAGAGACCACGCACAGCAGTGTCCTCGCATCTGGCGCGGCTCAGGGACGCTGGCGGGAGAG